AAGTGCTACACATGCCCCCATACCGCCTCCCTCACCTCCTCCCTCACCCCCATCCCAGGCACCAAGAAGACTTTCCACATCAAGCAGATGTTCACCTGCACATCTGCCAATGTGGTATACTGCATCCGCTGTACCCGTTGTGGCCTCCTCGACATCGGGGAAACCATGCGGAGGCTCGGGGACTGCTTTGCAGAACACCTACGCTCGGTTCGCAATAAACAACTGCACCTCCCAGTCGCCAACCATTTCAACTCCCTCTCCCATTCCTCAGACGACATGACCATCTCGGGCCTCCTGCAGTGCCACAACGATGCCACCCGAAGGTTGCAGGAACAGCAACTCATATTCCGCTTGGAATATGCAGCCCAATGGTATCAATGTGGATTTCACAAGCTTCAAAATCTCCCCTCCCTCTACCGCATCCCAAAACCAGCCCAGCTCGTCCCCACCTCCCTAACCGGTTCTTCCTCGCACCTCAAGCCGCACCCCCATCTCCTACCTACTAACCTCATCCCGCCTCCTTGACTTGTCTGTCCTCCCTGGACTGACCTATCCCCTCCCTAACTCCCCACCTACACTCACCTTTACTGGCTCCATCCCCGCCTCTTCGACCTGTCTGTTTCCTCTCCACCTATCTTCTCCTCTATCCATCTTCTATCCGCCTCCCCCTCTCTCCCTATTTATTTCCGAACCCCCTTCCCCTCCCCCATTTCTGATGAAGGGTTGGGGCCCGAAACGTCAGCCTTTCTGCTCCGACAATGCTGCTTGGCCTGCTGTGTTCATCCAGCTCTGCACCTTGTTGTCTCGGTTTGAAGTGTGTCTACTTCAATGCCAGGAGCATCCGGAATAAGGTGGGTGAACTCGCAGCATGGGTTGGTACCTGGGACTCCGATGTTGTGGCCATTTCGGAGACATGGATAGAGCAGGGACAGGAATGGTTGTTGCAGGTTCTGGGGTTTAGATGTTTCAGTATGATCAGGGAAGGTGGTAAAAGAGGGGGAGGTGTGGAATTGTTAGTCAAGGACAGTATTACGGTGGCAGAAAGGACTTTTGATGAGGACTCGTCTACTGAGGTAGCATGGGCCGAGGTTAGAAATAGGAAAGGAGAGGTCATCCTGTTGGGACTTTTCTATAGGCCTCCGAAAAGTTCCAGAGATGTAGAGGAAAAGATTGCAAAGATGATTCTGGATAGGAGCTAAAGTAACAGGGTAGTTGTTATGGGGGACTTTAACTTTCCAAATATTGACTGGAAACGCTATAGTTCGAGTACTTTAGATGGGTCAGTTTTTGTCCAATGTGTGCAGGAGGGTTTCCTGACACAGCATGTAGATAGGCGAACAAGAGGCGAGGCCACATTGGATTTGGTACTGGGTGATGAACCAGGCCAGGTGTTAGATTTGGAGGTAGGTGAGCACTTTGGTGATAGTGACCACAATTCGGTTACGTTTACTTTAGCGATGGAAAGGGATAGGTATATACCGCAGGGCAAGAGTTACAGCTGGGGGAAAGACAATTATGAGGCGATTAGGCAAGATTTAGGATGCATAGGATGGAGAAGGAAACTGCAATTGAAATGTGGAGCTTGTTCAAGGAACAGCTACTGCGTGTCCTTGAGAAGTATGTACCTGTCAGGCAGGGAGGAAGTGGTCGAGCGAGGGAACCGTGGTTTACTAAAGAAGTTGAATCTCTTGTCAAGAGGAAGAAGGAGGCTTATGTAGAGACGAGGCGTGAAGGCTCAGTTAGGGTGCTTGAGAGTTACAAGTTAGCCAGGAAGGACCTAAAGAGAGAGCTAAGAAGAGCCAGGAGGGGACATGAGAAGTCTTCAGCAGGTAGGATCAAGGAAAACCCTAAAGCTTTCTATAGGTATGTCAGGAATAAAAGAATGACTAGAGTAAGATTAGGGCCAGTCAAGGACAGTAGTGCGAAGTTGTGCGTGGAGTCCGAAGAGATAAGAGAGGCGCTAAATGCATATTTTTCGTCAGTATTCACACAGGAAAAAGACAATGTTGTCGAGGAGAATACTAAGATACAGGCTATTAGACTAGACGGGATTGAGGTTCATAAGGAGGAGGTGTTAGCAATTCTGGAAAGTGTGAAAATAGATAAGTCCCCTGGGCTGGATGGGATTTATCCTAGGATTCTCTGGGAAGCTAGAGAGGAGATTGCAGAGCCTTTGGCTTTGATCTTTATGTCGTCATTGTCTACAGGAATAGTGCCAGAAGACTGGAGACTAGCAAATGTTGTCCCCTTGTTCAAGAAGGGGAGTAGAGACAACCCTGGTAATTATAGACCAGTGAGCCTCACTTCGGTTGTGGATAAAGTGTTGAAAAGGATTATAAGAGATAGGATTTATAATCATCTAGAAAGGAATAATTTGATTAGGGATAGTCAACACAGTTTTGTGAAGGGTAGGTCGTGCCTCACAAACCTTATTGAGTTCTTTGAGAAGGTGACCAAACAGGTGGATGAGGGTAAAGCGGTTGATGTGGTGTATATGGATTTCAGTAAAGTGTTTGATAAGGTTCCCCATGGTAGGCTATTGCAGAAAATACGGAGGCATGGGATTGAGGGTGATTTAGCGGTTTGGATCAGAAATTGGCTAACTGTAAGTAGACAGAGGGTGGTGGTTGATGGGAAATGTTCATCCTGGAGTTCAGTTACTAGTGGTGTACCTCAAGGATCTGTTTTGGGGCCACTGCTGTTTGTCATTTTTATAAATGACCTGGATGAGGGCGTAGAAGGATGGGTTAGTAAATTTGCAGATGACACCAAACTCGGTGGAGTTGTGGATAGTGCAGAAGGATGTTGCAGGTTACAGAGGGACATAGATAAGCTGCAGAGCTGGGCTGAGAGGTGGCAAATGGAGTTTAATGTGGAAAAGTGTGAGGTGATTCACTTTGGAAGGAGTAACAGGAATACAGAGTACTGGGCAAATGGTAAGATTCTTGGTAGTGCGGATGAGCAGAGAGATCTCGGTGTCCATGTGCATAGATCACTGAAAGTTGCCACCCAGGTTGATAGCGTTGTTAAGAAGGCATACGGTGTGTTAGGTTTTATTGGTAGAGGGATTGAGTTTCGGAGCCATGAGGTCATGTTGCAGCTGTACAAAACTCTGGTGCGGCCGCACTTGGAGTATTGCGTACAGTTCTGGTCACCGCATTATAGGAAGGATGTGGAAGCATTGGAAAGGGTGCAGAGGAGATTTACCAGGATGTTGCCTGGTATGGAGGGAAGGTCTTATGAGGAAAGGCTGAGGGACTTGAGGCTGTTTTCGTTAGAGAGAAGAAGGTTAAGAGGTGACTTGATAGAGACATACAAGATGATCAGAGGATTAGATAGGGTGGACAGTGGGAGCCTTTTTCCTCAGATGGTGATGGCTAGCACGAGGAGACATAGCGTTAAATTGAGGGGTGATAGATATAGAACAGATGTCAGAGGTAGGTTCTTTACTCAGAGAGTAGTAAGGGCGTGGAATGCCCTGCCTGCAAATGTAGTAGCCTCGCCAACTTTAAGGGCATTTAAATGGTCATTGGATAAACATATGGATGATAATGGAATAGTTTAGGTTAGATGGGCTTCAGATTGGTTTCACAGGTCGGCACAACATCGAGGGCTGAAGGGCCTGTACTACGTTCTATGTTCTATGTTCATTGTGATAATGCTGCAATCAGCGAAGGTAATGTGAAGACTTGTTCCCCTGTAGATGATTTTTTTTTAAATATGGTGCCTCCACGCAAGCTTTTGAAGATGAATACAAGTCATAAACTATGCATTTATTATTTTTCTTCTTTGCTTCTTGTTGCCACCTCCTACCCCAAAGTAGTTAAATCCAGCAGATTGACTTGCTTTGAAAATAAATTACTATGTTCTCAGACAGCTGGTTGGAAATGGAATTCTAAAAAACAAATATTTTCCTAGAATTGTTCCTACAATTTACTGGCTTTCCCCACTACTGCAGTATGGATAAAAATCTGGAGGGGGTGAGGTCTTAAGGAGGAGGAGGAGTTACAGAGCCAGAGAGTTGTAGAAAGGAAGTATGACTTCGTGCGGGATGGCATTTCGACATAACATGTTTATGAAGGTGGGAGACCAATTACAACACCAGTACTGCTATCAAGGTGATGGACAATGTTGTCCATGATTTTGGTGGGGGATTTTTTTTTTTTTTCTTTTTTTTTTTTGAGAGGGGCAGAATCCAAATGGGATTCCAAAGGTGTATCCTGATCTGGGTCAGGGCTGACTTTGCAAAGTAAAAGGAGATGGAGAAACAGTTTGCTCTTCACTAAGAAAAAATGACATTCTGACATCTATCCCATAGAAATATTTGCATGTACATGGGAAAAGCTAAAGCTGACAAAAACATACTAAGGCTAATTCACCACCGAGAAATTAAGTGATCTTTAATAAATATTGGATGGTATGGTTAATCTAAGCTAAACTGAATACCAATTAGAATTTGTCCAAAAGTTAGATAGCAAACAGCATTTTTTTTTAAAATCGGTTACATTACAGTTTTCTCTTTCAGTGTTACTGCAGAATAAATTTAAACATATTGTTCACATGCTGCACTGCTATATTATGAATGGATGAAACATTCTTGTGTCAGGTTTCCTTTATAAAACATCTTCCTCCTACACCATTTCCTAACCATGAGGAACGGAAGTCAGCCAACTTGGACATACATCCATTGAGCTTGTGATCCAATCAACTGGAAAATAAGATTGATCCCAAGAACTCCTATTTACCTATTATTAAGCAGATGAAGTCAAATACAACAGACACTCACCCGACAATTTTAATATTTTCAGTAGCTTTCATTAGAGAACAGGTAAATTCAAGCCAATATACCTTTCAACTGTTTGGTTACAGAGGATTGTAGCCCACAACTACAAATGAACATATTATGAAGTGTCAGCATAGATAGAAATGGCGGTTTTTGAGACCCCTCTCCACAACTGTTTTAGAAAAAAAAATGAAACTCCCTGGAAATTGGTACTTACTAGGTAATCAATTCCTGTAATAGTGCGGTTCGCATGTCTCATCGAGTAGGCAAGTCTGAAAATTCCATCACTGGTCTCACCATTACCATAGAAGCCAACAGCTATTCCCGCACTGAAAAGACAAGAAATTCCATTACAATCAAATCCATTAAGTTCATCAATCTCAAGGTAAGATTTCAGGAATTGATTTTTTTTTAATTAGCAAACAGATAATCTGACCAAAGTACTATTTCTAAAGAGAATGAAACTACTTCTTATGTAAAGCCTGTCAAATTTAAAAAAAGTTCTATCAATTTTTTTTTAATCTGCATGCTGATGTATGTGCATTATTAATACTTGGATTATAAATACTATTATAGTTAATTGTGTACAGATGTGCTCAAATTCCAACCAAATTGTACAAAATCAAAACTATGCACACCTCATAACAGGTTTAGTAAACTTAAAGATGCAAGCATTTCAATCATGGAACAATACAGCACAGAATCAGGCCCTACAGCCCACTATGTCTGCACTGACCATGAGGTTTTTCTAAAAATAATCCCCTCTGTCTACACATGGTCCATGTCCCTCTATTTTCTGGCTATTTGTTGTCTGTCTAAATGCCTCTTAACCTTAACTTTCGTCTCTGCTTCTACCACCTCCCCAGCAATGTGTTCCAGGCACCTACTACACTCTGCGTGAAAAGCTTTCCTTGAACACCTCTTTTAAACTCTTCCCCTCTCATCTTAAACCTATGCCCCCTAGCATTTGACATTTCCATCCTGGGAAGGAGACTCCGACTATCCTCCCTATCCATGCCCCTCATAATTTTATACACTTCTATCAGGCTGCACCTCAGTCTCCAATGCTCTAGCAAATAATCCAAGTTTGTCCAAATCTCCTTTTAGCTAATACACTCCAATTCAGGCAACATCCTGGTACGTCACTTCTAGACCATCTCCAAAGCCTGCACATCCTTCCTATAGTCTGGACCTGCACACAGCACTGCAAACGTGGCCTGTGCAAAGTCTTATACAGTTGCATCATGACTTGCCATCTTTTATAATCAATGCCCTGACCAATGAAGGCAAGCATGCCATATGCCTTCTTTACCACAGATCATTCATTTCTTCCACAGAATTTACTACAATGCTCGTACCGTTAGCTTCAAAATATTTTCAGTAGGTACTTTGCTGGTGCAAACCTTAGATTTCTGCTCCAATTTGAAACTACCAAACAGTTAAACTCTGTAAACCCAGCTTCAGTAAAAAGTTATGCAATTCCAAGAATTCTTAATTTTCTCATTTTAAATTTCAGCTTCAATCAAATCAATTTTGAGTCAGTGTCAAATCTAGCTACCAGATGCTGAAAGGCTTGCTGACCCAAATCAAAGATCGCTCTTTTTATTCTTTGTCCACTAATTAAAAATTTAAATAAAATCAAATCTTTTAAACTGAATACCAATTTTATTTTGTTGCTAAATTACTTAGTGGCGGAAGATAAAAATGAGAGGCAAATTATTTTAAAATGTCAGTCGCAACTAACAGATGCTCTGCAGCCCCTGTAACAGCACAACAAGCTTCATTAATTCTTGTTCATGTTATAGTAGCATTCCAAGAAGACCCTATGCTACAAAAACTTTTATACATGCCAGATGGTTTCCGGTGTTCTGAAACACAAATAACAATTGTTAACTCGACAATCTGTTCCAGCATTATACGAACAACATGATTACTTTCTTCATCCAAATTAAAGACCTAGGGCTCAAGTTTCGAGCTTTCTCACTTAGCATCCAGAACGCAGGAACAGGCATTCAGCCCAAATTGTTTAAGTGCATTTTTTTCCTACAAGAACCTCTTGTCATACTGCCTCAATATCCATTTATTCCCTTGTCCCTTGCGTCAAGCCTCCCTTTTAACGCTATCTTCACCCATTCTATACAGATTCATACTCGAGCCACTGGGTGGAATGAAATTACTGCTGAATCTTGATTTTGATCCATTAGTGGCCACCTTGTATTTGTCTCCGTTCAGGCACACAAGTGGAAACTGTTCTGACCTGGTCAACCCAATCAAATCCATTCAAAAACAAAATTGTTGCGCTACATTGAGTCACCAGCACAAAACTAATTGGCCCATGCTAGTATTTATGCTCCACACCAGCCTCAAGTCAACCCTCTTAATCTAATACAGTTAGCATACTGTTTCCATTCTTTTCACCTTCATATTCTATCACTTCTCAATAAATCCATCAATGTAATATTGGTCAAAACAGACACTTTCAATTCAACAGTCGTCAACTTGAATGCTAACGGTTGAATCTTCTGAAAGGGCTGAATATCTGGAATGAGATGCTGATCCGTTTTCCTTTTATTTTCTTGTACACACAGAAGAATCTTCTCAATCTTTTCCAAAGGTTGCTTTCTTACAATTCAGGCAATATCCTTGCAAATGATGTTCCAGTACCTGAACTATCTTTTTACCCACAGTATTTCAAAAATGGTCTTACCAAGGTCCTATGTAGATATAACATTACTCTCTGCTTTTGTATTAGACCATAAAACCATAGGAAAGGAACAGGAGTAGCCAATTTGGTCACTTGAGCCTGTTCCTCCATTAAATAGGAACATGGCTGTTGCAACATTCCTCACGTTCACTTTCCTGCCTTTAGGCTGTAACCTTCGATTCCCCTTTTTTCAAATTCATGTGTGGGATGTGGGCGTCGCTGGCTGGCCAGCATTTCTTGCCCATCTCTAGTTGCCCTTGAGAAGGTGGTGGTGAGCTGCATTCTTGAACTGCTGCAGTCCTGCTACTGTGAGTTGATCCACAATGCCATTTGGGGGGGAATTCCAGGATTTTGACCCAGCGTGAAGGAACGGCAATATATTTCCAAGTCAGGATGGTGAGTGGCTTGGAGGGGAACTTGGAGGTGGTGGTGGTGGTGATGTTGCCAAACGTTTGCTGCCCTTCTCCTTCCAGATGGAAGTGCTCGTGGATTTGGAAGGTGCTGTATAAGGATCTTTGATGAATTTCTGCAGGTGTATCATGTAGATAGTACACACTGCTGCTACTGAGCGTCGGTGGTGGAGGGAGTGAATGCTTGTGGATGAAGTACCAATCAAGCGGATGGCTTTGTCCTGGATGGTGTCAAGCTTCTTCAGTGTTGTTGGAGCTGCACTCATCCAAGCAAGTGGGGAGTATTCCATCACATTCCTGACTTGTGCCTTGTAGATGGTGGGCAGGCTTTGAGGAGTCAGGAGGTGAGTTACTCGCCACAGCATTCCTAGCTTCTGATCTGCTCTTGTAGGCACTGTGTTTATATGGTGAGTCCATTTTAGTTTCTGGTCAATTATAACCCCCAGGATGTTGATAGTGGGGGATTCAGTGATGGTAACACCTTCGAATGTCAAGGGGTGGTAGTTAGATGGTGTCTTACTGGTGATGGTCATAGCCTGGCATTTGTGTGGTGTGAATGTCACTTGCCACATGTCAGCCCAAGCCTGAATATTGAGCAGACTTGTTGCATTTGAACATGGACCGCTTCAGTATCTAAGGAGTCACAAATGGTGCTGAACATTGCGCAATCATCGGCAAACATTCCCACTTCTGACCTTATGATGGAGGGAAGGTCACTGATGAAGTAGCTGGAGATGGTTGGGTTGAGGACACTAACTAGAGCAACTTCTGCAGAGATGTCCTGGAGCTGAGATGATTAACCTCCAACAACCATGACCAACTTCCTTTTTATCAGGTATGACTCCAACCACCGGAGCGTCTGCCCCAGATACCCATTGATTGCAGTTTGCTAGGGCTCCTTGATGCCACATTCGGTTGAATGCAGCCTTGATGTCAAGGGCTGTCACTCTCACTTCACCTCTGGAATTCAGCTCTTTTGTCATTGTTTGAACCAGGGCTGTAATGAGATCAGGAGCCGAGTGGCCCTGGTGGAACCCAAACTGGGCATCACTGAGCAGGTGCTGTTTAATAGCACTGTTGATGACACCTTCCATCACTTTACTGATGATTGAGTAGACTGATGGGGCGGTAACTGGCCAGGTTGGATTTGTCCTGCTTTTTGTGTACAGGACATACTTGGGCAATTTTCCACATTGCCAGGTAGATACCGGTGTTGTAACTGTAGTGTAACAGCTTGGCTAGGGAGTGGCAAGTTCTTGAGCACAAGTCTTCAGTCCTATTGCCGGAATGTCGTCAGGGCTGGTAGCCTTTGCAGTATCCAGTGTATTTCTTGATATCATGTGGAGTGCCTCGAATTGGCTAAAGATTGGTTCTGTAATGCTGGGGACCACTGGAGGAGGCCGAGGTGGATCATCGGCACTTCTGGCTGAAGATTGCTGCAAAAGCTTCAGCCTTATTTTTTGGACTGATGTGCTGCTCTCTACCATTGTTGACGATGGGGATATTTGTGGAGCCTCCTGCTCCAGTGAGCTGTTTAATTGTCCATCACCATTCACGACTGGATGTGGCAGGACTGCAGAGCTTAGATCTGATCCGTTGGTTGTGGGATTGCTTAGCTCTGTCTATCCCTTGCTACTTTCGCTGTTTGGTGGCTTCACCAGGTTGATACCTCATCTTCAGGTATGCCTGGTTCTGCTCCTGGCATGTCCTCCTGCCGTCTCCATTGTACCAGTTTTGATCTCCTGGCTTGATGGTAATAGTTGAGTGAGTGATATGCCCGGCCATGAGGTTACAGATTGTGTTGGAGTACAATTCTGCTGCTGTTGATGGCCCACAGCGCCTCATGGAGTCTTGAGTTGCTACATCTGAGAAAAGTCTGTCCCATTTCGCACAGTGATTGTGCCACAGAACATGATGGAAGTTACTCTCCATGTGAAGGCGGGACTTCATCTCCACAAGGACTGTGCAGTAATCACTCTTACCGATATGGTCATGGTCAGATGCAAATGCAGCTGGCTGATTGGTAAGGATGAGGTCAAGTATGTTTTTCCCTCGTTGGTTCCCTCACCACCTACCACAGACCCAGTCTAGCAGCTATCCCTGAGGAGTAGACCAGTTCGATCTGTAGCACCCAGAGTACATTTTGTGCCCTTTTCATCCTCAGTGCTTCCTCCAAGTATTGTTCAACATGGAGGAGTACCAATTCATCAGCTGA